CACCGCCGGACCCGGCCCCGCACCGCCGGACCCTCCCTCCCTATTTTCCCGGACATGTCCGGCTTTTTGGGATTTCCTCCTGGACGTGGATTTGAGGCCCAAAAAGCTGGACGTGTCCGGGAAAATCCGGACGTATGGTAACCCTAATACACACAAGCTACAGGTTATTATGTTAGTGGTAAGGATTTCAGAGCAGGGAAGAGGACATAGGTTCTTGCATTGTCAAGATCCCGGGCCCAAAGACCTTATCCCACTCAAGTGATCCACCTTCTGGCTCCTAATCTGTTTCTCCTGATAACAAAGAGAGAAGAGGAACTCTCTGTTTTTTCACAGGGTGGGGCTGTGTTGCGACCACTATGCTAGAAATTACATTTTATATATTTTTAGTGTTTTTCGATGCCACGTTCCTCTTTTAATTTCACTGTCATGATTCCTAGTATCCGAACCATTCTGGAATCTGTAGCAGTCTCCATATTTATATATATTTTTTGCCTCTTTCAGGACAAATGTAGAGTCCCGAATCTGTTTCAGGAATTGAAACGCCATGATGTTATGCCACACTGTCACCTTATGCCACTTTCACTCTATGCATCCGAAGAAGTGAGGTTTTTACTCACGAAAGCTTATGCCCAAATAAATCTGTTAGTCTTTAAGGTGCCACCAGACTCCTTGTTGTTTTTGTAGATACAGACTAACACGGCTACCCCCTGATACTTGACTGTCACCTTAGATTGTTCAACATCTTCATTAATGATCTGGATGATGGGAAGGATTGCACCCTCAGCAAGTTCGTGGATGACACTAAGCTGGGGGGAGAAGTAGATATGCTGGAGGGTAGGGATAGGGTCCAGAGTGGCCTAGACAAATTGGTGGATTGGGCCAAAAGAAATCTGATGAGGTTCAACAAGGACAAATGCGAGTACTGCACTTAGGATGGAAGAATCCCATGCACTGCTACAGGCTGGGGATTGATTGGCTAAGCGGCAGTTCTGCAGAAAAGGACGTGGGGATTACAGTGGACGAGAAGCTGGATATGAGTCAACAGTGTGCCCCTGTTGTCAAGAAGGCTAACAGCATATTGGGCTGCATTAGTAGAAGCATTGCCAGCAGATCGAGGGAAGTGATATTCCCCTCTATTTAGTACTGGTGAGGCCACATCTGGAGTACTGCGTCCATTTTTGCCCCCCATCCCCCACTACAGAAAGGATGTGGACATATTGGAGAGAGTCCAGCGGAAGGCAATGAAAACGATTAGGGGGCTGGGGCACATGACTTATGAGGAAAGGCAGAGGAACTGGGCTTATTTAGTCTGCAGAAGAGAAGAGTGAGGGGGGATTTGATAGCAGCCTTCAACTACCTGAAGGGGGGTTCCAAAGAGGATGGAGCAAGTCTGTTCTCAGTCTTGTCAGATGACAGAACAAGGAGCATTGTTCTCAAGTTGCAGTGGGGGAGGTCTAGGTTGGATATTATGAAAAACTATTTCACTAGTAGGGTGGTGAAGCACTGGAATGGGTTACCTAGGGAGGTGGTTGAATCTCCATCCTTAGAGGTTTCTAAGGCCCGGCTTGACAAACCCCTGGCTGGGATGATTTAGCTGGGGTTGTTCCTGCTTTGAGCAGGAGGTTGGACTAGATGACCTCCTGAGGTCTCTTCCAACTCTAATATTCTAGGATTCTATGGTGCTGTACCTTTTCAGGCAATGCAATGTCTCAACACAGCGATACAAATGTTGCCAGGCTGTACTGAATGTAAGTTCTGGAGAATAAATTTCAGCCCTGCACTGAAGATCGACTAGACAGGACTGAATAGGTGTCCTCCATCTCTCCTTTCTATGCTTCTAGGATTTCAAATGTCCTCCTCATTGGCAGGCCTGCATGCAAGTGGTTCAAAGAGTGCCCCCTTGTGGACACACAAATATACCCAGGCACCAACAATCCAACTCACAATATCATGTATGGGCTGAACTCTCCCCAGACATACAGCTTAGTGCAATGCCTTTGTAGATCAAGGAGCAAGGCAGATTTTGTCCTCCGTCTACACAGAGTATGTTCTACAAGTCCCTTTCTCTGCCCAATCTGCACAGGATCTAAGTCTGTTGCAGCCCTAGATGGAGAACCTGTCTCTTTAGCTCAAGCTGTAGCATTTCATACTTCTAGCTCTGAAGGTCCCTGGTTCAATCCCTGGTGTGCTAGCTCAGAGGGTGGTTGTCAGATATGTACCTTACATTCAATGTGTGAGCTCACCTCTGACCAGGGCCCTGTGCTCCACGTCGCACACTGTCGCATGTTGCAGGGCTGCGTGCTGCGGGGCTGCTCCGCAAAGGCCATGCACTTGGCATCATCCACCACCCCAGGGGCGCCTTGTCCATTGTTTGACATGCAGTAAACTGAGCGAGTTTGGGTACCTCCCCCGCAGGTGGCTGAGCAGACTCCCCACTCCCCGGTTTTCCAGCTGTAGGTAACAGAAAGCCGTCACAGAACCAATGAACAAAGAGGGCTAGCAAGGAAGTCTCTGTACTTAGGGCTTGCTGTATCACAGTTGGTGCCCAAAGGGCCAAGGTTAACCCTGAAATCCCCAGTTCAACCAGTTAGGGAAAAATCTCTTTTTGTGTTGTGACATCAGCAACAGAAAGAAAGGAAGCCACAAAGGGCCATCACAGCGTGACAGGACGTCACAGGGTCATATTTTTGTCTTCCACTCAAGAAAATTGGCGAAGGTGGCAATTTGACAGAGTGCATAATACCTGCATGTCCAGGAGGCATCCATGAAAGTAACAGATGCCTACACAAGCTGACCATATATTAAGTGAGTTTCACCATAACAGTCTGTGTGGAACTGATCACCATTACATTACCAGAGTCAGAAACTCAAATGTAGCTGGAGTAAAGTTACAGGGGAGTTTAAACATGAACAATTGCTGCATAGCATAGGTGGGCAATGGGGCTGCGCTGTGGAACCAATCTGTGAGTGCAACCCACTTGGCGTTCTGACTGTGTGGGGACCCCTCAGGTCTGGTCTACTGTTAAAATTTAGACTGACCTAGTTATGTCACTCAGGGGTGTGAACAATTCATACTGAGTGGCATAGTTAAGCTGACCTAACCCCCAGTGTACATGAGGCTAGGTTGCTGGAAGAATTCTTCCTTTGACCTAGCTACCACCCCTCGGGGAGGTGGATTACTTACATCAATGGAAAAACCATGTCCATCGATGTAGGAAGTGTCTACAGCTGTGCCCCTGTAGTGCCCATAGCGTAGCCATGCCCTTAGAGCACCACTTTTATTTATTTATAAAAGGAAGAGTGACAAAAGGCATCTCTCCATCACACTAGGGCCCTATCCATGAAAACATCACATACAGGACTGCACAATAGAAGACTAGCAATGCAATCAGCCCGACCACTTAAACTCCAGCCACAAGCTACTGCATAGAGACAAACCAAAACCCCATTCTGTCTCAAAGCCAATTCTTAAAGTGTGGGTGGTGACCCCTTGCTGGCGCTCAGTGGACAGCTTCCTTGTCACATGGTGCTGGCTTAGGTCCTTATTTCCAACTGCTGACTTGCATTAAAAAAGGCTAAATATTCATTAGACAAACACTTTGTCATGTAAACAGTTGCAGTAGTTGCCACCAAGTTGGGAGGGGAGAGCTCCCCAAGATAATCCCACTGTTAGGATGAGGTCCACATTATGAAAGTTTGAAAACCCTTGTCTAACCCTTTCCACCCATGCTCCAACCCTATGCCTGGGAACACAGATGAGCCTTGCAGCATGCCTTGAAGGACAACAGAGGGGGTTATTTTGGACATAGGCACTGACTTCCTGGTTTCCCAGGGGGTGGTCGACCCCAGCTCCATCCCAGGTCCTGCCCCCCCCACTCCTTCCCCCAAGGCCCCACCCCTGCCCTGCCTCTTCCTGACCCCATTCCATTCTCTCCCCCAAGGGCGCCCCATAGACAACTGGTGCCTCCCCATACTGGGAGGCATGATCTAAAGGGGAGGTCACGTGTCCCCCTGGACAACCACCCCTCCGCGCCCAGCCCTGGGCCTCTGTGCTCTCCCTGCCACATGTTACCTGCAGGAAGGGGGCGCTCTGTCCTCCCGCTGTGCCTGGCCCCCCCCCCCAGCATGTCCTGCTGCTCTTCCCGGCAGGAGTGAGCCTGGGCAGGGAGCAGAAGGGATCCACTTCTAAAGTCGCCCCCTCCTGGTTGCTGCCCTGCAGCCCGCCAGCAGCCTGAGAGAGCCTGGCTGGGGAGGCGGCTTCTGCTCCCTGCCCAGACTCAGCCGCCAGGGACCGCAGCTGAGTGAGTTGGAAACGTGCCGGGAGGGGGGGCTCCAGCTCGCTCGTCCCCGATCTCTGGCACTCAAGCCCAGGCAGCCACCTCCCCAGCCAGGCTCTCTCAGGCAGCAACCAGCCCACCATGCTGCAGAGCAGTGTCCCAGCAGTCGGAAGGGTTTGGGCCCTTCCACTCCCCAGCATCTGGGGAAATCTCCCCTGACGTCACCCAGCCCCGCCTTCACCCCACCCCATTCCACCCTCTCCCCTGCCTCTTCCTGCCCCCCGCTCCTCCTCCTGCACACCGCCAAACAGTTGATCGCGGCAGGAGGAAGGTGCTGGGGGGATGGGGAGGAGCTGATTGGCGAGGCCCGCCGGGGGAGGAGGGGCTTGCCGATGGGTGCTCAGCACCCACTTTTTTTTTTCCATGGGTGCTCCAGCCCCAGAGCACCCACAGAGTTGGTGCCTATGATTTTGGACCACAGTAGTGTGTGGAGCCCAAAGTCAGAGGTAGGGGGTGCTCATGGAGAACTTCCTGCTGTCAGCTACCTTCCAGTTAATCAAGTAAGCTCCAGCTAAAATAGCTCCACTGATTAGTCAAGAGGGCAGATATAATTTTTGCCATCTCCTTCTACTTGTTCCCCCAGCCTGTCATCATCACCTTCATCTTAACCAGACTGAGTCCTCAGCCCATCCTCCTCATTAACTCCACTAAGGGTCCCATACATTTACTGAGCAAGAGAAGCGACACAATAGAATCCTATACAAGAATGCCTTCAAGGTCAATGAGCAATTTCCCAATATAACTCTGGGTCCTCTCAGCCAGGAAGGAACACAGCCACTCAATTCCTACCTATGACTGTAGGTAGGGTGACCAGATGTCCTGATTTTATAGGGACAGTCCTGATTTTTGGGTCTCTCTTATATAGGCTCCTATTATGCCCCCACCCCCTGGCCCGATTTTGTACACTTGCTGTCTGGTCACCCTAACTGTAGACCAGTCATAAACAACTCACAGTCAACTGCAATTAAGGCAGTTGATAGATCTAATAGTATTAGTGTGGACACCTGATCATTCATTATCCATCAAGTTGTGTTTCCGTACCGTACAGAAGTCTGCAACCAAACTGACAAGGGCCAAGGAGATCTGGGGCACCTAGATACTATAAGAGCATCTTGTTGCAACCTTTTCAGTTATCTTACCCAAAAGAGGGAAGATTAAAATGGTTAAATAATTGCTCATATTGTTAATGTCAAGCAATGGTTTCTTTTGCAAAGGGCATATGCAAGTGTCCTTCAAAGCAGATGGCAACTTGTGATCTTCAAAGGAGGCAATGACAATTTCCACCAACAATGGACCTACTTCTTCCCAAATGACCTTTAGCAAACAGGAGGGACATGGAGTTAAGTCACAGACTGTGATTAAAAATTCCCCCAACACCTCCAGTACCTCAATGAGTGCCACAGGATGAAATCAGAGCAAAGAAGACCTGGTGTTTGTTCCCCACAAGATATAATTTTGTGCTGCCATGAATGCAAATAACTCAGTCTAAATCTGCAAAATAACTAGAAATTCCCTCACAACAAGAATCAGCAGCCAGGCACAGACTGCCCAGATTAATCAGGCTGCTAACCACACAAAACAAATTCACTGATCAAGATGTTGCAGATGCTATAGTGGAGTTAAAAAACCAATTCTTCATTTTCCCATAGCCACAGCATAATATGCTTAATAGGCAGCAGGTTTAAAATAAACAAAAGAAACGCACTTACAATGCACAGTCAACCTGTGGAACTCCTTGCCAGAGGATGTTGTGAAGGCCAAGACTATAACAGGGTTCAAAAAAGAACTAGATAAGTTCATGGAGGGTAGGTCCATCAAGGGCTATTAGCCAGGATGGGCAGGGAGGGTGTCCCTAGCCTTTGTTTGCCAGAAGCTGGGAATGGGCGACAGGGGATGGATCACTTGATGATAACCTGTCTGTTCATTCCCTCTGGGGCACCTAGCATTGGCCACTGTCAGAAGACACGATACTGGGCTAGATGGACTTTTGGTCTGACCCAGCATGGCCGCTCTTGTGTTAAAAGGTCTTTATGATAGTTGGCCAAATTCACCCAGAGGCTTTTGCAACTGGTACTCAAGGCATCTTCTGCCTCACTTCTTTCATCACAGGCCATCTGTAAACCGAGGTGACCTGTGAGAATGAAGCTATGAAAGAAGATGCCTAAGGACAACCCTATTGACAGTAGAGGGCAACATGGTGGTAAGTCCCACTCAGCCATTAGTAGAGTGGTCAGCTGGGAGGACAATTTTTCTCTTTTTTGCTTCCGGTGCCATGGTGGAGAGCCATATCATCGCAGTAAACACTGCATCCAGGCACTTTTGTGCCTGCACTGGAGCACATGCTGTTGGGAGAAGAGCTTCGGAGGAAACTTGAGGTTGCAACAAAGGAAGTTTGGCATTCTGACTAGTTATTAAATAATCTGATTCACTGCAGTCCTACCCCATTTCTGTTTCTTTCTACGAGTTTATCATCTTGACAAATTGAGCAAAATCTTCAAAAGCAGCCGCCTTGCCCAAGGGAAATGGCAATGCTTATTTCAGGGTCAGAAACAGAAAGATACAAAGAACTGTCCCCTCCAACAGTCACATCAGAAGAGCAAATCATCAGTAGGGCTCACCAGTGTCTGAGCAAAGCTTCCCCTTTTCTAGTACCCAGGACCCTCCACCATCATTTGTGGGGGGTGAGAATCAAAAGCAAAGCACCATCCTAGACCGTCACCAAGGATGGAAACACCCAGTGGGGTTCACCAAGCAACCAGATTTTCTAGGTGGGAAGTGGGCAGAGAATAGCTGAAGCTCTGCTTTCTATAATCTCGATCTCCTTCTTGTTACCTCTTCATTTGAGAGCTCCAGGCTCCGCTGTGGCTCCACACTCCCGGCAGATAGATGTAAGATATCCTTTATACACAGAACAAAGGTTTTAAAGGACTTTAAGCAATATTTAGAATTCTAGAGCTAGAGCTTATTGTGTAGGCAGAAATGTTCCCAGGTCTCCAGGTGCCCTCAAAACACAGGGGCTCCAACAGGCCTCACACTAATTCCACTGGATATGCAGAGAGGTGACACCAGGGTGTCCCAGGGTGATAAAATGGTACATGCTGTGGATACCCAAGTTGGAGCCATGTGGCAGCCAACTGTAAGTGCAATGGAAGGGGGAGCTTGACAGCCCAATAGGAGGAAGAATTGCAGGGCTCAGCCCTCTCAGAAAGGGCCAGGACCTGGGGAATGCAACAAGTTAACTCCCCTCGCTCTTATATTTGCAGCTCTAAGTGAAGGGAAGAATGAACACTAAGTGAAACCTTCTCCTTCCCCCACTTTGGCTAGGATAATATCTCCAGCAACTCTACCTAGGCAAAGTGAGAGCCCCTGGTTTTGGACACAGACTCAGGCCATGTAGATCCATTCCTTATGGGCACAGAAATCCATTCCCACATTTTGGATAAAACATTTCAAAAGCGCCTAAGGCTACATCTATACTACAGCCGGATTGACGCTCTGAGGCCTTGGCTACACTTGCAGCTGTACAGCGCTGTGAGTTAAACCTGTCTTCGTACAGCTGAGTAGGGAAAGCACTGCAGTCTGTCCACACTGACAGCTACCAGCACACTGTCATGGCCTCATTTGCAGCGGCATTGGGAGCGGTGCATTATGGGCAGCTATCCCAGCATTGCAGTGGCTGCAACGTGCTTTTCAAAAGGGGAGTGGGGTGGAGTGTGACAGGGAGTGTGGGGGGAGAGAGAGTGGGTTTTTGGAGTGCGGACACACACCCTGCCTTGCAAGTTCCGACCCCCCTCCCTCCTCCACCGCTCTCTCACTCACTGAAAGCAAACAGAGCTCTTCGTTTTTTTCCTCACAGACCAGATAAGCAGCCACTCGCGGAAAGGGACCCCCCTCTCCCCCCCCGCCCCCATGCACCACCTCTCTCTTCAAAAAGCAACAGAGGGTCCTGTGGCACCTTTGAGACTAACAGAAGTATTGGGAGCATAAGCTTTCGTGGGTAAGAACCTCACTTCGAAGTGTGGGTCTTAACCACGAAAACCTATGCTCCCAATAAC